GGAAACCTTCAGGGAGTTTTATGCATGACTGTACTTTAGAAATCTCTTTGGCTGCTGTGTGGAGGACATACTGTCTGATGGCAGGAGTGGAGCCAGACCATACAGAGAAGCCAGGTTCTGTAGTCATCCAGGTAAGACAAGTGAATTGTACTACAGTCGTATCAGTGGAGACTGTAAGTAGTTGATTAGATTTGGAATATCTTTGGGCAGTGGAGCTGACGAGACTTAAATGATGATTTGGACGTGAGATGTGAAAAGAGAAATATGGAAAAGTCCTAGACTTCTGATCTGAGCAACTATAGGTGATAGTGCCACACTGTAAAATGGGGAAGGCTTGGGGCATGGGAGTGCAATAGGAATACAGTTTTGTTTTGTCCATGTAAACCTATTAGATACCCATTGGATAGGTATCTAAGGGAGGCACAGAGTTCAGAGATATGTGTACAAAGACAGAACTGGATATGAACCTGGGACAAAAGCTGTAAGTGCATGTCTGGGCCAGGGGATAAACATTTGAGAGCCATCCATGTACGAATGCAACTTAAAGCCCTGATATCAGATGAACTCACCTAGGGAGTGTAGATAGATGGAGAAAAACAACCCTCAGACCACTGGCAAGAAGCAGGTCATTAATAATGTCATAAGCCTCATTTCAGTGATTTGGTGGGGAGGAAAAAAAACAATCAAAAGGATGAGAGTGAATGGGAGATAAGCACGTGGAGGCAGAATGTAGGGAAGTGTTTTGTTTTTATTTTTAAAGATGGATAATATTAAAACACATCTACGTGGTGATGTATTACAGGTTGAGCATCCAAAATCCAAAAACCTAAAATCTGAAATGCTCTAAACTCTTGATACTTTTGAGTGCCAACATGATGCCACATGTGGAAAATTCTATACCTGACCTCATGTGATGAGCTGCAGTCAAAACTTTATTTCATCCACAAAATTATTAAAAATATTTAATGAAGTTACCTTCAGTTATATGTGGATGATATATAGGAAACATAAATGAA